AAGCGTTGGCGAATGGTGATAGACTATAGAGCGAAAAAACCGTGGGAAACGCGTACCCGCTCCCCACCATAGCCGAAATACTCAATCAACTCGGCAGCGCGAAATACTTCAGTATATTCGACCTCGCTTCGGGCTTCCATCAGATCGCGATGTATGAGGACGACGTGCCAAAAACAGCTTTTTCCACGCCCCATTGGCATTACCAATTCAATAGAATGCCATTCGGCCTGAAAAACGCGCCAGCCACCTTTCAACGCCTCATGGATCAAGTTCTGACCGGCCTGCAAGGAACCGAACAGTTCGTCTACCTTGACGACATTGTTATATACGCGAACTCACTCGAAGAGCACTCATCCAAATTTGCGAAGCTAGCACAACGCCTACGCACCGCGAACCTTCACCTGCAACCAGACAAATGCGAGTTCCTGCGAAAGGAGGTATCTTATCTCGGACACGTGATAGGGGAAAACGGGGTGAAGCCCGACTCTAAGAAAATTACCGCGGTTAAAGATTTCCTACGGCCAAGAAACGCGAAAAACAAAACAATTCTTGGGCCTAGCCGGTTACTACCGGCGCTTCATACAAAATTTCCTCAAAATTGCTAGACCACTAACATCCCTGTTGAAGAAAGACGCCAAATTCACGTGGGACGAGCCACAAGAACACGCATTTGTCTCGCTCCGCAACTCGCTATGCACGGAGCCGATCTTACAATACCCGGACTTTACCAAACCGTTCGTCGTCACTACGGACGCATCCGGATATGCGATAGGCAGTATAATCAGTCAGGGACAGATAGGCAAAGACCTCCCTATTGCGTACGCCTCTCGACTCCTAAACACAGCAGAACAAAATTATCCGACAATCGAGAAAGAACTCTTAGCCATAGTGTACTACATACAGCATTTCCGTCCTTATCTCTACGGTCACAAATTTAAACTGGTCACGGATCATAGGCCACTAGTGTGGCTGCATTTTGTGAAAGATCCGAGCTCGAGACTAGTCCGCTGGCGGTTAAAACTTCTTGAATACGAGTACGAAGTCACATACAAAGCGGGTAGAGTTAATGCTAACGCAGACGCTTTGTCTAGGAACCCCGCCGAAATACCCTGCCGAAATACCCCCAGTTCCGACGAATCCATCTTTTCCCCGCAACCTAACCGGCAACAACAAAAAGGGAATTCGCAAGATCAACCACCCGACACACACGACTACGACGACTCAGAAACCGATATCGACGACAGCAGTACAACAGACAGCATGCCCAGCTCGGAAACCGAGATATTCGACCAAGTAAACGAACCATACGCACTTCGTAACGAAAACGTAACCGAAATCAAAGATAACTTCCTGTCGCGAAAAGATCATAAGGCCGTATTCATCACCCAAAAGGGCGACCCCTGCAATAAAGGAGCCAGACTACTCCATGAACACGACTTACTACCAGCGTTACGTAGCCAAACATTGGGAAGAGCGAGCGTGACGACAGAAAACGAACCAAAAATCATATCCCTGGTGATCAAAGAACGCAAAACTACACAGTTAGATTTGGAGATCTTTCGCGAAGTCATACAGTCTCTACGAGATGTCTGTCAAGAGCTCCAACTTAATTCCGTGTCATTATGCAAAGGCGACTTGAAAGACGTACCTTCCGATACCGTCCGCGACTTACTGCGACAAACATCCGAGGGCGATCCGATCAAAATCCTCCTATGTACCAACAAAATCCATGTACTGCCCCCAGGGGAAAGGAGAAGGATCTTAGAAGAATGTCACTCTAGCACGCTCGGAGGGCACAAAGGAGTGACGAAGACGTATCTACGCATTAAAGAAAAATACCAGTGGCCAAACCTGAAGGAGGAAATACAAGAGTTCATTCGCAACTGCAGAAATTGCCAATTGAAGAAACTAGTGAGAGTGAAAACAAGGCAACCCATGGTCATCTCGGACACCCCAAGGGAAGCGTTCGAGAAAATTTCGATGGATATCATGGGAGCACTCCCCACCACCTCCTCCGGCAATTCCTACATCCTCACGATACAAGACCTCCTAACCAAACACTCCACCGCTATCGCGCTAAGACAAGCCTCCGCGTTAGACGTAGCCGACGCTTTCATAAACAATTTCATCTGCCTATACGGCGCTCCAAAAGCAGTTCTGACCGACCAAGGCTCTCACTTCATCAACAGCCTCATCAAGGCTGTAACCCGAAAATTTAAGATCAACCAATGCAAAACTATCGCGTATTACCCACAATCAAACGGATCCATAGAACGCAGCCACCACGTCCTGTGGGAATACTTAAAACAATACACAAACACACAGCATGAATGGGACGAATTTCTTAATCTTGCGAAGTTTTCGTATAACTCGAGCGTACACGAAAGAACCTCTTATCGACCGCACGAACTTGTCTTCGGCAAAAACGCGCGAACACCGTCCAGCGACCCCCCTATCGAGGATAGCGTAAGTGAAACGTACAAGGATTATTTAACTACGTTATTTAACCGCTTAAAAACCACACAAGAACTCGCTCGCGAGAACCTCAACGGAGCTAAGGCCCGCAGCAAACGTTATTACGACCAAAAACTGAACCCTCAGAACTTCAGGGTAGGAAATCGCGTGTATCTACTAAAGGAACCCAGCAAAGGTAAATTAGGAGACCAATATTCGGGCCCGTACCAAGTACTAGAAGTACTGCGAAATAACAACGTGCGCATTAAAATAGGCGAAAATCAGACGAAAATCGTCCATAGCAATAAGTTGCGTCTAGATAAGGCCAAGGGACCCCCTCCCCGATCATAGGACAGCAACCCCTACTGCTAACACCAGGACGCAAGGCAGAACGTGACGAAGAGCACGCATTAGTACGCCACCTCGCACCAAGATGCCCCTCCTGACAGCTCTCGCCCTCCTCGCTGCCGTCGGAACCGAGCCTGCAACCTCCCTCCTGGGACACGACTGTGGAGGAGAACTCAACATTACATCGCTCTCATTAACCGACATTGCCGAATACCACGTCGACGACGTCGAACCTAAGAAGGAAGAGGTCTACCTACAGCTAATGCAATTCAACGACTTCACTCACACTGAGGCCATACAATGCCGCCTAGAAGTCGACCGCATAATCTACTGTTGTGGAATGTGGTCCCACGTATCCACCGTCCCCGGAAGAAAACGGAGCTACATAAGGGAAATCTCCGAGGAAGCCTGAGAAAAACCCAGGAAACAGGAACCATTATTTTGGGAAATGACGTCCTCATCGACGGCTTAAAAAGAAATTCAACAACATCACGGAGTCTGACTCTCGCCGGGTCATTACAAAACGACGGTGCCTGCCAAGGATCCGTCTACACCGACACATTCGGAACATGGGAGAACGCCATCGTCCAGGCAAGCGTCCGCATAACCTTGCGGGACTTCTTGGTCCCCATCAAAATAATGGCCAACGAAGTGATATTACTTTCAGGAATCCGCTGCAAAGCCACCAGCCGGGAATGCCTCGACGCCGATAGGACCACCACCTACTGGAAAACCACACCCAAGGACAACTGCAATTTCGACCGATACGATATACTTTATGAAGGCTTCGCTCATAAACTATCCCCTTCACCCGGACAAGGGGACGGACTCACCATCTATACAGTTACCAACAACGATGCAACATTCGCCCTCGCCAAAACCTCAGAGTCAAACCTCTGCGGGTACAAAATCATGCACGGAGCACCCAAAACTCTTTATTCTCGAAACCTCGAGAGGACGGACCTTCAAAGAAAAATCTAACATCGCAATAGACAACCTGGACATGTTCGCTTACGTGAACTCCAAATTTGTCTGCATCGACGTCACATGAAAAACCAACTGACGAAACTCTACAAGGATATCATGACACAGAAATGCGCTCTGGAAAAACAGATTCTAGAAAACGCACTGTCCTTGTCTAGCATCGCACCGGACGAAATAGCGCACCGCCTAATGAAAAGCCACGGATACACAGCAGTGACCGCCGGAGAAGTCATATATATAATTAAATGTATCCCACAAGGGAACTATCAGGGGTGTCCCTCACCGATTTGATTCTCTTTGAAATATGTTATAAAACAAACAAATCAAAGAGACACGTATTTTTTTATATCGGCCCAATCTCATGTTTAAGGGATGAAACAACCCTTTGAAAAAAACGGTCTTTTTCTTTGAGATCGAATATTGTCGAAACTATAAGACATACAAAAAAATTGTTTCAACAGAATTTTAATGGTTTGAAGAGTACTTTGAGGTTATGCAAAGAAAATTTTTTTTTATTAAATATTTTTTTATTTAACCACCACCTCCACCCCTCCTTTTTGCAAAATTAAAAATTTTTTTCACCAAAGTAAAGGTTATTTTTTTCCAAATTCAACCATGTATAATAAAGTAACGTTACGAGAAATAATTTTCGAGAATTAATTGTTATCGCCTCCGTATATACGCTTATCTGTGCTATGTGCGCAGGTAATTATGGTTCAACCAGTAAAACATATATAAAAAAATGCTTCAAATAAAATTTTTAAAGTTTTCTATATAACTTACAACTTTTCTTTTTTTCTTTCTTTCATTCTTTTCTTTTCATTTACGCACTCTCTCGTCCTAACGCGGTGGGGCTCCTGAACCTACTAATAAGATTCGAAAATATATAATGGCTTTTGGCGATTCCCTGGGAAAGACATTACATATTAAGCGCATGTAATATGAAGAAGACAACTTTAGAGTACTAGAGAAGAATTATTTGTTTTAGAACAGCACATTAATGGCCAAATATATGACCGAAACGTTTGTGAATTATAATAATAAAATATTTCTAAAAAATCACACGTACATCCAATGAAGGGTTTATGGCTCATAGAGATTAAGGACTGATGTTTTTGTATATATTTTCGAATATTTTCGTACATATTTTTACATATTTATGCTTTTATATTTCGTAGTTTACACAATAATTCATAAACGTATTTAATAATTAAAAGAACATAATAAATTTATATTTAGAGTTATTCGCTCTCATTATACTCATTACAATAATGATATTCGTGGAAAAAGTGTTTCAAACATAGTGACTTTTTACACCACGAACATCTTATTACTGCTATATTGTTACAATCTTCGATGTCACATGTAGTTGAAGTTTCGTCAAAACTAAACTGTACAGGGTTTTTAAACTCTTCTAGTCTTTCGTCTGTATAACCGCTTTTAAACCACGAATATTTAAACAAGTTGTGATATCGTGGGGATGACAACTGATTATGTATCAGTGATTGCAACTTTATTATATTATTTCGTTCATGCAAATTTATATCGCTTTCCAATAGTAAAACAATATCTGAAAATCTTTTAGCAAAATTTTTCCAAATTCTAAATCCATACACATCTAATGGTTGTATTTTTCCTGTAGTGCCTTTTGGTATTATCATAGTAGTAATACGTTTTCCCGAAGGTGTTAAATCCGAAATGATATTAGGGCAATGTCCAGTCCATGAATCGATAAGAAGAACGCTATTAGAACCAATGTTTGGAAAATAAGCTTCTTCTAACCACATTTTAAAATGATCTGCAAGAAATGTAAATGTTAATTTAATAGCTTTTTCATGACGCCTTTTAGATTGTTAAATAAAATATGAAATAGTTATAAAAGGATATCTATACCTGATGTCATTTTGCCAGATTTCGATGTTTTTGCAATAACATTTATTGGTTTAAACAAGTTTTCTTCTACTCTTGGTCCAAATCTACCATGAATTTCTTTTAACACAATAAATAAAGGTGACAACAATTTGCCATCACACGATATTATTGGTTGTATCGTGTATGAATGTGTCGTTGATGATATAGACTGCACGACTCGTTCTGTTTTCTTTTCTCCTTCGTTAGACAATGATCTTCCAGAATGAATTTCCAATTGGAAACCACTTTGATCTGAATTATAAATATTTTCAGATCCAAACTGTTCAATAAGAGGCTTTACTGCTTTCAAGAAATCATCAGTTGTTTTTTGCAAATCAACAGAATCTTCCAATGTTCTTCTAGTGACAAACTTCGTAACTTTTCTTGAAACAATTCGGTGGGACTTTTTGACTTTCTTGCTACCCAACTGGGAGATGCTTTAAATATAGGATGTAAATTTCCTATTTCTTCCTGAGCTTGCAAAGCCCATCTTTTTATATCAATATCATGAACCATGAACCCTGATTCAACAGCAGCAGTAAATTTACCATGTGTAAATTTGGAGATGTAAGATAATTTTTCTACACGATTTCCACCTGATTGCAATTGTTCTTCTCACCGTCTTAACTGACGTAGAGATGAAACTCTTTTAAATGCATGTTGCACTGATTTTAGAGAACGATTCCTTGTTCTATCGTTATTATTTTCTTCATTATCTCTCTTCCGCCAATACTCAACAGCCCGTCTTTTATAAGAATTGTCAAAATCTTCGTCAACATTTGAACATTGAGGTTGAGAATTCAAATTATCTTCACCCCATGCTTCTTCGTCAATTATTCTGCTTCTTCAATTATTTCCGGACTGTGTAATTTATAAGGTTCTTCATAATCGAGATATATTTCTTCCGTTACTTCCAACCTATTATAATGAAAAATGCTATCCAGTAATACTTTTTGTATGTTTTCTTTTAATTCTATTTCTGCTTCAGTTACTGGCGTTTCTATTAAATACATTGAATTTATTGACATCAATAAAAGTCTAACAACGTTACGCGGATTAATAATCATTTCCAAGGATGTTAAACTTTGCTGTCTGTTGTAATAAAAACTATTTACTCCTAACTTCAACCACTTCAAAATTCTTACGTGCTTCCGACAATTGGGTAAAAGCTATTTTATATTCAACATTTACCTAAAACAATACAAAATATTAACCGATTTTAATTCTTCTTTTTTTCATCGATACACCAGACATTAAGGAACATATTTATGTCGAGAAAAATATGTAAAAGATAGTAGCTCGTAGAATATTTACGTACCTCTCACATGAAAGATCTCGTATTCTCGTGGTTTAGCAAGTTCCACTGATGTGAATATAATAGAAGATAGAGTATAAAGATAGTGTATAATAGAAGAACAGAGTATAAAGACTGTACTGACTGTGAATATTATACGTTCACGTTAGATACACGGTCGCCTTATATACTAGGCGGTGCACATTTTGTTTCCACGAACGTGACGAACTGATAGGCATATCGTCACGTATATACGATAGGCCTATCGTCACGTATATAGATAAGCGTATATACGGAGGCGATAATAATTAATTCTCGAAAATGATTTCTCGTAACGTTACTTTATTATACATGGTTGAATTTGGAAAAAAATAACCTTTACTTTGGTGAAAAAAATTTTTAATTTTGCAAAAAGGGGGGGTGGAGGTGGTGGTTAAATAAAAAAATATTTAATAAAAAAAATTTTTCTTTGCATAACCTCAAAGTACTCTTCAAACCATTAAAATGTTGTTGAAACAATTTTTTTGTATGTCTTATAGTTTCGACAATATTTGATCTTAAAGAAAAAGACCGTTTTTTTTTCAAAGGGTTGTTTCATCCCTTAAACATGAGATTGGGCCGATATAAAAAAATATGTGTCTCTTTGATTTGTTTGTTTTATAACATATTTCAAGGAGAATCAAATCGGTGAGGGACATCCCTGACAGTTCCCTTGCCAGTCATGTGCAAAATCCGTCAAGCAGAGCGTTGCTACAATGAATTCCCGGTAACCTACAACAACGCCTCATACTTCCTGACGCCGCGCTCACGCATTCTCATCAAATTAGGCACGCCGGGGGAATGCAACGAGCTGCTACCCCCGATGTACAACATCAAGAAGGCTTGGCTTGGCTACAAAATAATGCCATGGCCAGTAGAATCAATCGCACCTCCCGTAATTCGACTTCTCACCAAGCCCACTTGGAAGTACATAAACCCCTCCAACCTGGCGACCAGCGGAATATACTCTGCCGAGGATTTAGACAGACTCAGGAACCACATAATGTTCTCAGTGGAGAAACCTACAATCATCAGCACCTTAGCACAAGGAGCCATGGGAAGAAAAGTACCAGTTGGAACCATCTCCCTGTATAATATGTTGGACGAAGAATCACTGGAAAAAATCGCCGAAAGCGCAGGAGCACGCCTATGGAAAGGCTTCATCACATTCGGCTCAGCAAGCGCAGGCATCCTGAGTATCATACTCCTGATCCGACTAGCCAAGTTGGTAGTCGACTTCATTATAAGAGGTTACGCACTCCACTCGATATACGGATGGAGCCTCCACCTACTAGGCGCTATCTGGAGCTCACTTACCCACCTGCTGATTCACCTCGGAGGACGCGGGAAGACCCAGCAGAACGAGCAGTCCAGGGAAGAAGAAACAGCCCTAGAAGTGTTAGTACACCCAAAAACCGAGGCAGCCAACAACGCGCAAGACGCTAACGGTGAAAGTGAAGTGCGAGTTGCAAGTGCCCCAACAAAAAGCTACAGCGAACTGAACAACTATCTGAGCGAAATACGCCAAACCAGACGCTAATGCGATAAATAGAATAAGTACGTATATATATATATATCTCTAGAAAACGTCGGTCCAATAACGACCGATATTTTCTAATAAGGGGGGAGGTGTCACATCCGCACCACCAATTGTAAGAGGAAGCACCACACAAAAATTTTTTTCCTCTCTCCTTTTCTTCCCTCTTGGAACTACCCATAAATTTTTCTAAGTCCTTCGATCTATAAATTTTCTAAGTCCCTCAACCTAGAATTTTTCAAAGTCCCTCAATCCAGAATTTTCCTAAGTCCCCCAATCCAGAATTTTCCTAAGTCCCTCAGCATGGAAATTTCCTAAGTCCCAATTTCCAAACCCCTACTACCTCCCCACTCCAGAGGAAAATTCGGCGACTCGGGAAAACCGCAGCTCAAGGACCGCAGAGCGTCCGAGCCTTAGTCTCAGTCATGCAGTGATCTGGTGCAGTGCCTCCTCCATCCCTTGTAGGGTCTAGTAGTAAGTCCGAAATCTAACTTAGAATATTTTCGTGTATTTGAACTTAGAATATTTTCGTGTATTCGAACTTAGAATATTTTCGTATATTCGAACTTAGAATATTTTCTCATATTTGAACTTAGAATATTTTCGTGTGTTGAACTTAGAATATTTCATCACATTCGAACTCAGAATATTTTCTTACACTTTCAACGAACCACCACAAGGGTCTTATCGTGACAATACAATTACAACAGAACAACTCTATTCCCTCGGAAATTTAGTGTATTCGTTTTAGTTAAAATATATCCTTGTTAGTTAATTCAAGTTTAAATTCACTCTCCCATCTCCTCCCACCCCGGACTGCTAACGCATTTGAATCGCGTCGTTGATAAACTGGCTGCGGATTCTCTGAAGCATTCGCATCATTAGAATAGGGGGCGTACAGGTTGTGGCTTGATCGCACCGCCCACCCGTAGGCGTACAGGTTGCGGCTTGATCGCACCGCCCACCCGTAGACACACAGGTTGCAGCTCGATCGCACCGTCTAAGTCGCTCGAAGGCGCATAGGTTGCGGTTTGATCGCACCGCCTGACAGCATAGGGATTTCTGAATCGATCTCGCAGATACCGCTAGACAGAGTCACGGGAATGATTCCAAATGCGCCCTGTACGCAGGGGAGGTCGTAAGAAATTCATCAAGAAATTGGAATACCAGCTAAAACACGGACAAGCTTACCACCCTTACCTAGGTATCGAACCCGACAACTCCGCTCCCGACGAGGAGCCTCCTCGCTCATCTGAGCCCCCTTGCTCTCTCGAATCTCCTCAGCCGCCCGTGCCAGAGCACCCGAAAGTTAACGCTCACGAGCCATACCGCGTTAGTGAAATTGATTGTGATACCATCCCGCGCTTATCGAACATTCGACGCGGATTCTCGCCAAGAGACCCGAGGCCTGCCTTCTACCGCCGACTACGTGCAGAGATCCTCCACCACTACTGCGGAGCATCTACCCCGCCTCACACCAACCGTATCTGTGACGGAAAACCTCCGACTCTCGACCAGCTACGTGAGCACGTGCGCAACTCCATGACACAGGTGTGCCAAATTATTACATTGGACTGAAGGAACGGGTAAGTGCCAATTGCTTCATACTCCGTGGAATCTCGTGTCAAGCCCGCCAGATTGCGCATATCCCTGAGGAGAATCACACGATTCATTCGACCCAAAAATTGCGATCTAGTCCCGCGTCCAGGCCCGAGCACCTGCAGCCTGGTATCGCAGCCGCGGCCGACCGGGACGTAACAGTGTCCCGGCTTTCCGCACTTTAAACACTTCAAGGCGGGCGGTTCCCGCGCGGGCATACTAGCTGTGTATCGATGGTATCGCGTGGTCGCGATATCATTTGGGCGGCTGTGGATATTTCCTGCCCCTTTTACGCGTTCTTCTTCGACGGCTTCGGTTATTGCGTCGGCTAACGTCGCGGGGGCACGAGAGCGTACTATTGTTTGAAGCTTCTCGTTTAACCCCAGCTGATAATTTATAAGCGCCTGTTGTTTAGTATACCGGTGTATCGTGCCTTTTTCGTGTTCTGAATATTCGTTGTCTTCGGTGGTTCCCGTAAATAATTCGGTCGCTAATTTTTCTATTCGTTTACCGAAGACACGCGCTTGTTCCCCCGGTTGCTGTCGTGCGTAATTGAACTCGCGTTGTAATCATGTATTAGACTTTTCTCGCGTAACATCTTCTAATGTATGTTTTAACGAGGCCTAGTTGCGCGGATCTCGATTTTTTATTTCAACTAGCGATTCCCTTTAGTTTTATGCAAATTATCGCCCGTACTAGTGCAGTTTAATCTGCAGGGTGTATAATTTCAAAAGCGTAGTCACACGCAGTGAGAAATTCCATTAGTTTCTCTTCGTTCGACCCGTCGAAAAGGGGGATATAGTCCTTAGCTTCGCGCAGCCCGGCGTGATTCCCTAGGTTACGCTATCTATCTCCCTTCCCTAGGCCGACGCTATCTATCTCTTGTTGTCTGTTAGGAGAATCTCGTTCGTATATGAATGGCTCTACTGGCGCGGCGTCGGTGAGAGCTGCTCCGACGTTTCTTTGCGCGAGTAGTTGCGCTGTCGTGGCGGACGTGTTTTTTATATCCTCTATCCCTTCTATAATTATTTTGAGTAAGGCAAACAGTCGATCCGCATCTATTCCTAAACTTTCTGTTAGTGGTCGGTCCTGATTCGACTGAATGTTTTCAAATCGCGGCGTGATTTTTTCGCGAGGCGGTTGCATCCTGTTGATTGGTGTCGTAGTCAAAGTTCTACGCAGATGGGCGATCTCCTTGTCAATCGCGTATTGTATTTCCCGGTTTCCTAGGACTTCCGCGGACGTACCCGGTGGTAGTGTGACAGACATTTTGTCCTCACTAAATATTTGATTTGGATCGAAAATATCGCTATCGTACGATGATAACGAGAAGTCTCCTCTAAGGGAGGGATTACTAGGTGTTCGACTTATTATTTGCCTCGCTCTCTTATGTTTTATTACGGACGCTTTCGCTCGCTCGCACTTGTCGATAGTTATGAGGGAAGTATCGGGCGCAATTTCCGCTTTGTCAATTTGTGTAGCTGTATTTGCTCGGTTGAGTAAATCAAATTCTTCCTCAGAAGAGTAACAATGTTCGAGATTTTTCTGAACGTGTTCCGCGATATCTTGTACGGCTGACTCAGCAAGGTGCAATAGCTTAACCGTAGGAATCTGCGTGAGTCGCCTGATAGAGTATAAAGCGGATTCACTATGCAACCACGATTTGTTTTTTAAATGTGCGTATGACTCGAGACGTCCCTCTGACATTCGCGATATTTTTCGCGATACTATGATCGCAATTCGTTTCTAACATACATTAGCGCATACTGCATGTTGCATGGTGCTGTGCTGCGAACGGCTTAACTAGCTGGCGTCTGGACGGTGATACTGTTGCGGTAGGTCGGTACCTCGGTGTCGCAGTCTCGCTATCGCTCTTGGGTCCGATGTCGCTATCTCCGTTGCTCAGCTGGTTGTTGCCTCTGGTCGGTTCTTCAGTAATTGATATTCGCGTTGACAGCTTGGGTTTTCCTCTCCTTGGTGAGCTTTTCCGGGGACGATACTGCTTGGTGCTTCTCTAGGGATCGGAAGTTTTCCGTCGGCCTTGGCTCCACTTTGGTAGTCGTC